GAGCTGATCTGGGAGCCACTTCGAGAAGGTCCTTGAGGATGGCCACTGTGTCACCACTTTAGTTAGGATTTGAGGAAAGGGGTTAAGATGAGCTAATGGATCTATTTCTTAATTTAACTCCAACAGCGACCCTTAAATCTTGGAACCGGGACTTCTCCCTCAATGTGTTGGCCCAGCCAGATGCAGTGAAGGAAAGTTCATTCTCAGAGAGGAAGGCATTTCTAAACGAATCGCTTCGTATGAAAATATTCTGCAGGTACAATCTTTTTACACCCACATTTTTTATGGCTTATATTTATATTCAACGGGCATGTTGCTAACTGGCAGATCACTTATAAATGGAAACAAATCCCTTCCCCAAATCCAAGATAGTTCCCTTCATGTTCAAAATTTAAGAATCAGAGGAAGAAATGTGAGTTTGGTACCAATGGGTATGAGTTGGTGGAGATCAGGTTAAACATGGCTCCCCCCCACCCCCCCAAAATTAACAATACACTGAGCTCCCTTTATGGCTTATATTTATATTCAACGGGCATGTTGCTAACTGGCAGATCACTTATAAATGGAAACAAATCCCTTCCCCAAATCCAAGATAGTTCCCTTCATGTTCAAAATTTAAGAATCAGAGGAAGAAATGTGAGTTTGGTACCAATGGGTATGAGTTGGTGGAGATCAGGTTAAACATGGCTCCCCCCCCACCCCCCCAAAATTAACAATACACCTGAGCTCCCAAGCTGGTCCATACACTGAATTCAGAAGCTCTGAACTTGGGTTGGGGGGGACTGGCATCTCTCCCCTAACTCCTAACTAAAATGTAGGCCTCCCCGCAGTTAGGGATGTAGATAACATGCCACACTAGTATGAATTGGCGAGACCTTTGACTTTGTCACCAGTGGAAATGACAGATATTTTCATGTCATGTGACAGCTGTTGTAGACTCACAAAATATCATGGATGCTCATCTCTACCCAGAAAAAAAGGCTGTCCTTAGACCTGCTGGTAGATCTTACTTAATGCACCAACAGAGAGGCACACGTATTGCTAGTTCATGAATTGTTTTAATATGTGGAGAATTATATATCAATACAATTGGTTTCCTTGGTAATCCTATATATTTGATTCATTTTTAAAACACTGAGCAGAGGGCTATAGGTCTTGTCCGATTGCCAAAGGTGCATGAGACCAAAAAAAAAAGAAGGTCCATTGGTCTGCATGGGAAAGAAGTCAAGAGAAAGATCAGCTCAGTGCAGCACCGTTCACTGATGGCAATAGTGGCGTTTCTAACTTAATAGGCTCTTGCCATAGTCAGCCAGCTGTTGCACACGAGGGAACCAGGGCCCAGGGAATGTCTGAGCTATTTAGAGAAGATGCTATTCCCGTTGCTCATGCTGAGGTGGCTGTGGGCGTGGTTTTCTCTAAACCAGTGATCGGCAAACTGCGGCTCGAGAGCCACATGCGGCTCTTTGGCCCCTTGAGTGTGGCTCTTCCACAAAATACCACGTGCGGGCGCGCACGTACAGTGCAATTGAAACTTCGTGGCCCATGCACAGAAGTCAGTTTTCAGCCTGGGCAAGTCTATTTTGAAGAAGTGGCATTAGAAGAAGTGGGGGGTGTCAGTTGGTCGGGTGATGGGAGACACGGCGCAGGCGGGGGCCTGGGGATACGCAGCGCGGGGGAGGCACGCGCGATTCGTGCACGAGTTGAGTGAGACTGGCTACAGACGAGTATGGATGGGAGAGTTGGAAGGGGTCGACCTCAGCGAACGTACCTCAATCAGATTGAGGACGTTTTTAGCAAAGGCCAGCTTAGGAGTACCCTAATTAAGTTAATAACAATGTACCTACCTATGTAGTTTAAGTTTAAAAAATTTGGCTCTCAAAAGAAATTTCAATCGTTGTACTGTTGATATTTGGCTCTGTTGACTAATGAGTTTGCCGACCACTGCTCTAAACCATTCTCATTTCACTCGAGCATAGATTATGAGATGATTTTTTAAAAGTCCTCTATAAACCAGGAATTACGAGGCCAGGGTGGGGCAGAAGATGCCTTTGCCCAGACTCTGACCTACTTTCCATGTTAAGCTCCAACATCTGAGGCCAACTCAGATTTGGGAAAGCAAGCACATCCACTCAAAGATTGCAGACACAGAACATGTGACAGCTTTTCATTTATTGAATCTGTTACCAGAAGTGTCCAAAGGTCTCGTCCTTCATGGCCGCCGTCGCTGTATACGTAAGCCCATCATGGGAAGACCACGTGTCAGCACCACCCTGCCATGGCAAAGGCCTCCGGGGAAGGGTGACCAGGTCAGAGCGGCAGGCGCTCACGGGGCTGCTTGCTTCCTCACGCAGGACTGTTTGTAACAGCCACTGTGGGCCAATGCAAGAAATCATACACACACACCCTTCTCAGGAGTGGGCCGGCGGCAGTCTGAGCCACTCCAGCCCACTCTAGCCAGCCCTCCCTGGACCACCCGCTCCTCTCGCTGCCTGTAGGGAAGGGGATGGCATTACTACCCAAAGGACACAATGTGCTATTGCTCCAGGTTGTCCAACTTTACTTTTCCAAAGTTTCCTGGCAGCTGATTTCCGGTAACTGCAGTACAAATTGGACAAATGACTAATTTTACATTTTAACCAATTTATTCAACATATTGTGTCTACTACATACAAGGCACATACACCAGATCAGAAACACACACAAAGCTGCTTGTCCAAGGGCTCACCCACGGAGGCTGCCATGTGAGTTGCCTGTCCCGGGAACTGTCTGCAAACCAGTTGGTAAGCCATACAAAGGCCAGCCTCGTGATTCTCAGCCACGGGCTCTCACCTGACAGAGCCTTCCAGAGCATTCTCCCAAATCTGAGTCCACGTGGCACGTGGCCTGTCCCTATTGCTGGGATGCAAGGATCTTGTGTTCCCACTATAACCTCAGTGAGTAGAAAGGTTCATGGTACATAGATGAATGCTTGTTGAATGAATGCATGAGTATGCTGTAGGCCTGAACGACAATTTCAAACGACCAGATGTCAAACTGACTACTTCAAAACAATGACTCCCACTTGAATATACATGTTGTGATGGGTCAGCTTAAAATTAGGTGTTTTTTTTAAACTTTGTGGTTGAAAAGCCATGTTTGGTAATGGAAACATCACACTTTATTCACTTTCTTCATTTTTCTGATGCATAGAGTTCTAGTAAAATGTAATGATATACTATAATCCTCCTTTATTTCAAAAAGTACTCACACAGCGTGTTTTCTGGAAATGTTGGATGATCACAACTTCCTCCTGGATTTCCCCGTGTGGACTCTTCCAACTTTTTATCTTAAGATGAGTCTGTTCCTGAAACCTGGTTTAATTTGAGTGTGAAATGGTCCTACTTATGCAATCACTTAAAAACGAAGGCAATTTGCCAACAACGAATCTTAAAGCATAAGAGTCACAGCATGTCTTCCATCCTGCGGTGTAGCTGTTAGGTCCGGACAGTCCATGGTGACAGTGGGATCCCAAAGGAAGCCCTTGGAACTGGGCGTGATGACGTGTGTTAGGGCGCAACTCAGGGTTCGTGGTCCTTGTGCTGTTCCCACATCTCTTTCTTCAAAATCAGAGGGGAGGGTGGGCCTCCTGGCACTGTTTTGCCAACCAGCCTACACTGGCCAATGTCCTATTTACCTCTAGACTCCTACTGAGTCACCATCACAGTGTAGACTCTAGACCAGTGGTTCTCAACCTTCTGGCCCTTTAAATACAGTTCCTCATGTTGTGACCCAACCATAAAATTATTTTTGTTGCTACTTCATAACTGTAATGTTGCTACTGTTATGAATCATAATGTAAATATCTGATATGCAGGATGGTCTTAGGCGACCCCTGTGAAAGGGTCGTTGGACAGCCAAAGGGGCCGCGACCCACAGGTTGAGAACCGCTGCTCTAGACTGAGAGGAGATTCAGTGACCTCCATCCTGGCTCACCCTCCTCCCACCCTCCATCCCCCATCCTCAGCTCCACAGGGCCCATGACACGTCACACCAGAACCACAGTATCGAGAGGACCCAGGACGGAAGAGTTGTGTTCTTCTCGCCCACCTGCGTGCTGTTATTTAGGTTCGACCCATGCTTGTTCCTTATTCTTCCAAGTTCCTCCAACGACATCTGGGTCTCCCGGGAATGGTGGCCATGCCGATGGCTCTGCCCATAGACTGACCTTGCAGCAGTCACCCTCCCCTTGACTGTGAGCAGCGCTTGTGGGACTGGAGCCCTTGTTGATGTGCTGGTCCACGGCCAATGCTTATTCGCCACCAACTGCCCCACACGGGATGGGTTAGCGAGGCCTTTGTAGGACCCCCTGTGCTCCCTTGTTGCTGCCTGTTTTCTGTGCACTTTCCCACTAACCCGTCGTTTAGAAGCAGGCAGGAGATGGAGGATGTGGCAGGGTCCAGACTTCTGTGTCCCCTTTGGAAGGGATGGCCTGGCCTTGAAACCACAGTAAGTCCCGGCACATGGAGAATCAGATGCTTCCTCTAGACACCTGGCGAAGCTGCCGGGTCAGGCAAAGCTGCCCTAACAGTCCTTGGCAGTTCCCTGGACTAACTGGGGAAACCTGGGAAGTAAGTTTGACCAGAGGAGAGAGAAACGGGTCGGCCAACATGGTTTCCAGGTCTTTCGGAGATTCGTTTTCCTTATCCCAGTCTCTTCCTCATCACACTCTTCATATGGCTCTTTTCTCTGTAATTGTACATATTTCAAATATCGGGACAGAGTGAAGAAAATGACCAGTAATAGATATTTTAAAATGTACATCAAAAACTATTTCTAGTTTACCTAAAACTAACATAACATTGTATATCAACCGTAATTGAAAACTAAATTTTAAAAAATTTAAGCATTTTTCTAATATATGAAATATTTTCAAATGTGATCAAATTGCCAAACAGCTAAAAGAAAGACGCAAAAAAAAAAAAGATATTACTTTTTTCCAGTCGAATGTCTAAGTTGAAAGCTTTAAACGTGATAGCTCTATACACTAAGCAAGGAGAAGCATGGAGGCCGATGTCCTCCCAGCAGCCTCAGCAACGAGAGGGCCGGTGGACCAGCCCATTTACAGGGAGCCAAGTGAACCCTCACAAAAGCCACTGAGCCGAGCGAGCCCACGGGGGACCCGGGGCTGGTCCTCCCTGCACGGGCTGAGGAGATCGTTTCCATGACCCCGGTGGGCAAGCCGGCTCCTCGCCACATCAGCCCTGAGGCAGGTGTGGAATCGCAGGGCCTCCGGCAGGACACAGAAATGGGTTGGAAGCCAACCGAACCCAGATGACTTGCTGGGATGGTCAGTCGCCCAGCCCAGTGGCCAGTCCTGCAGATCATTTCTAAACAGGAACAAGGACCCTCCCTGGCCCAGAGCAGATCAAGGAGACCCGGGGGGACTGGATCTGAGTTGTCTGGAAAGATTCTAGATTAAGACTCTGTAAGACCTGGCATAGGCATCAGCCTCAAAAACAGGACAGAAACTCCCCAAAGATGGAAGTTTCCGTGAAATCTTGTGCTTTTGTGGACTACGTGCAGTGGTCAACGCCTCGGTGTCTGCTTTGGAAGGGCTGGCTGCAGAACTGAAACCATGGCAACTCGCGATGCTCTGAGAATCTCAGATGCCTCAGATCAGATGCATGAATGCTCAGGCCAGGGGGAGCCGGGGGAGCTTGCATGCTGTCCATCAGTTCTCTGAAAATCGCAGGCATGGCAGCCAGGAGCCAGCAGACCCGGGATGCTGCCCCGGGATGGCTAGGCAGTTTTGAAAAAATCTGGCTTGGCGAATTCTGACTCAAACTAATAATGTTCCAATTATTCCTTTCTGAGTTGTCTCTCTCTCACTTCCTCTTTCTTCTGGGGTGTCCCTCTGGTCCCATCAGTGGGGAAGCTGTATCTGTATTTATTGTCACTTCCAAAGGGACCATCCACCCCTGCGAGACGGTCCCTCACAAGGACAGAGCCCCTGAGGTTGTCTCCAGCAGCACCGAGGACATCTTCAAGCTGCCCTCTCTTCTGGCAAAGGAGGCCCACTGAGCCTGGCTGATGCAGCCCAGGTTCTTCAGGGTCTTCACAAGATCCCGGCGGAATCTCTCGCCCACAAACACATAGAGGACTGGGTTCAGGCAGCTGTGGAAGAAGGCAATGGTCTGCGTGACCTGGAAGCAGATGTCAAGGTTGATGGAAACGGCACAGCTCGAGATGAACCGGGCGTAGGCGTCGATGGTCTGCACCAACAGGATGCAGTTGTAGGGGAACTGAGATAAGACAAAGACAGTAAGGACGGTGATGGTCACCTTCAGGGCCTTGTGCTTGGAAGACTTCTTGGCTTGGGTCAGAGTGTGAATGATGATGGTGTAGCAGCAAGCCATGACCACAAAGGGAAGGAAGAACCCCAGGATCACCTTCAGGGTCAAGACGACCGACTTCGACTTGGTACTCTCATCACGAGGGTACACCATGGTGCAGATGGTGATGTTAGAATCCCTCTTGAGTTGGCTGTACAGGATCTCTGGGATGCAGAGAGCGGCCGCCATTACCCAGACGACAATGCAAACCATTTTGCTGTATAGAAGCCTTTTCTGCCTCCAGGTCTGCGCTCGCGTGGCCTGGGCAATGGCGATATACCTGTCCACGCTGATGCACATGATCAGCAGCCCACAGCTGTAGAAGTTCATCTTGTACATGCTGTTGACCGCTTTGCACATGAAGGTCTGGAATTTCCACTGGTCGGCAGCGGCGATGGCCCAGAAGGGAAGAGTGGCCAGAAAGAGGAGGTCAGCGATGGCCAGATTCAGCAGGAACATGTCCGTCATGGTCTTCACCCTGGTGCAGTACCAGTAGACGAGGATGACCAGACTGTTGCCCACGGTGCCCACGATGAACACCAGCCAGTACAAGGGCGGGAGGAAGTGGCTCGCAAACTCCCTGACATTGTTTTTCTTACAGAAGAAGTCCAACAAGTTTAAGTTCTCATAGTCATCCATGGAAGACGTGGAGTCATAGCTGAAGTCATCAGACAGATTAGGGACAGGACTCTGCAAGGAGACGCAAGACGGCATTAGGTCAAGGACACTCTTTTGGAGGCTCTGTCTGATGGCAGAGGCATGGACCACTTGACCCTTCCAAGCCCCAAAGCCTTTGATAAGACAAAAGAAATGTACATGCAGAAAACAGGGATTCTGAGAGCATCTGCTTGGATCATAACATTTATTTATTCAACAAATGTTTGTTGAGCACCTATGGTATGTCAGATACTCTGTATGTGCTGAAGATACAGAGGTGGGTAAGTCAGACACGGTTCCTGCTCTCCTGGAACTCACCGCTCATGGAGGGCACACACAAGGAGTGAGCAATTGCAGGACACGTGACAGGTCTCTCATGGAGTAATGCCCCTCGGGACCACTGATGGGCACAAACTGTTATCATGCTCTGCGCATGATGCTGACTGCCCCTTCTCCTCTCTGTTCTGTCCTCCCCAAAAAGGTCCTCAGAGGCTCTTCAACTTTTCTGGGTCCAGATCCCTCTGGGTCTTCTGAGAGCTATGGGTACTCTGCTCCAGCAGCACCAACCGTATCCACACATCTGAGCACACATGTACACACGTGCATGCACACACATTCACACACTCTCATACACATGTACATACACAAGCCCCAAGACAGGTTGTACCATTTTTAGGGTCCCTTGTTCAAAATTTGTTAAGAATTTCAAAACAGTAGAGCATTAAATCACGCAAGTGGCACCTCTAAGTACAGGGCCCTGTGCAGTGTACAGGGCAGACTCCCATGATGCAGACCCTCACAAACACACATACACATGCAAACACATGCAATTCATGCATAGATTTGCACATGCACACTCACATATGCACAAACATGCCTGCCCTCTTGCACACATGCACATATACACATATTGCACACACTGTTCAGACACATGCACACACATGCATGCCCACATAACACCCCTCCTTATAGTTTGGGTGGGTTCCTGGCCCAGAGCCAGTCCAGAACCCCTGCTAGGGGGAGTGGAGATAAGGGCTGGTGATCAGAACCCTGAGCCATGAGCCCTTGAGAAAGGGATGGAGGGTGGGAGGGAGCAAAAATCTAAAATTGCATTTTCCTCTGTCTTCACAACATACCCCAAAGGGCTTCTGGTTCTCCACATTTGTAAAGCCCTCTGCACTGTGCATCGACTGCCTCTATGGGGCGCTGCTCAGCAGGGATCTTACCCAGGGAAACCTCCCAGAGAAATCCCTCCCCCACCCTGGATTCTTTCCCACACCCCCAAAAAGGGCAAGACAGGAGTGCATTTCAGGAGCTGTACTCACTGTGAATTCTAGGGGTGTCATGGTGCGTCAGAGGCAAGCCCGCTTCTAGAAAGAGAGGGCAAAGATAAAGAAGAGGCTTGTCAAGGAGCAGTGATACCCACCTAACGGTGGAGGTTCAATGTTAAATCTGTTTTCCTCATGAAAAAGATCGCAAGCAAGGTTGGGGTGCACGCCGTGCCAATGTCAGTCAGATAGTCTACATTCCAGAATCATCTTGATTGTTCCCGTAGACATGAGCGAAGCCTTCCTCTGAGAGCCCTGGCGCCTTCCCATTCCAGCGTCCTGTCCATCAGCTCGGCTTCTCTTGGCTCAGCTTCTCCATCGGAGTCTGTTTACCTGAATCCCCCTCTTCCCCATGTTATCAGCCTGACGACCGCAGGACAGCGGGTGACTTGGGAATGCTCGGGCCCAGACTCCGCAGGGGCAGGGGCAGGGCCTCTGGGTAACCAGGTGGCAAGAACATGAAAGGTGGGTGGCATCTGCCAGCATCGGAGTCCCTCTCCCGGAGGGCCCAGCGCCCCAGCACCTGCCTGCACGCTGGCTTACCAGCTCCGAGAAGGGTAACGGGCCCTGTTTTCCCTGGATCCTGACTCCTGCCCGAAAAGGAAGTCCCTAGGTTTGTTTACCAAAGAAGAGGTAGTGGCCTCATGTACAGGCCTCGGCTGACCGCAGGCCGGCTCCGCTGCTGTTTCCAGGTATTTGCATCTCTGTGAAAGCCACACGCCTGTAGGACCGAGGGACCCACAGCCGGACTCCCTCAGGGCAGGGCCTGTGCCTGAGCGGGCGGGTCCTCTCTGTGGTGTCCAGCGCCACACCCAAGCTCTAGAAGGAACCCTTCTCTGTCATCGTCATCGATCCCACCCTAACCTGCTGGTTTCCTTTTTATAACACAGCACCGTGACTCGTCCTGCTTTTCTGAAAGCCAGTGGTTTTCAGTGCATACCGTGTGAGACAACCGCTTTGGAAAAGCATTTGTCAGTTTCTTAAAAAATGAAACATGCCTACGCTCTCCGTGTGCTTAGCCACCCCACTCCTGAGTGTTTGCCTAAGAAAAATGCAAGAAAGACTATCCACACAAACACTAAAGAACCAGTGTTCATAGCAGCTTTATTTGTAACAGTCCCGACGCCCCTCAAGCATAGTGGAAGGATGAGTAAAATATGAACCCTTGCTACAGAGTAGAGGTGAATGGCTGGTACACCGGCTGGGTGAGTAGCTATTTGTCTTTGATTGTTGTTGGACCTTGGTTATGGTTGGTTATTGCTGGATTCAGGTTGCACACAGGGATCGCTGAGAATGGTGTTGGTGAGAGTTCGGGGACGGGCCTCCGAGCGGCTGTGGGGAGTGGAAGTTTAGGTGATCTTTTTGGAGGGTTAAGCCATATCTGTCGAAATTACAAAGCACAACGGCTCTGACTCAGCAGCTCATCTGCTGGGAACACACCTACTGCTATTATCTCAAAAGAACACAGAGACGTATACAGGGCCGTGTGTCAGCATTTCCCCCCAGGACAAAAACAAAACAAAACACAACAACTAGAAAAAAACCTAACTATCCAGAAACTGGTCATATTCCAATGCATCTGTTCAATAAACCACCCGCAGCCAATAAATAGAATAAGGTAGACCTCACAGTGTATAAAGAGCTCAGCAAGATTATTAGGTGAAAATGTCTGATGTAGAAGACTATGTTGCATGATCTTTGAAAATCTATATAAAAGGTGACACACCTCACAGCTGATTCCCACTGAAACATTGTCTGGCAGGAGCTTGAACAATGAGGGCCAGTGCAAAGTGAGACTTTCATTTTTTCCTTTACTTTGTGCATGAAGTTTGAAGAGCTAACAGAAAAATAACCTGTCAGCTTTACTAAAAAAAAAAAAAAAAAAAGAGGCCCCGTTGCTCTTCCGCTCCCTGGACCTGTTTGCAAAGCTCGTCCAGAGGAGGAACTCGCAGCTGCCCAGCTGGCCGGGCCGCTCGCTGAGCGCAGGTCTCCCATTCTGTTCCCCGAGCTGCTGTGCGTCTTTGAACCCCTGTGCTGGCTTTTTATAAGGGCTATCTTTCTTCCGTGACAAAGGTGTTTCTGGCTCATAGAAAATTTGGCGAGAGCCAAAGAGCAAAAACGAACCATTTTCCTCCCCAGACCTAAAGACACCCCCAGCGGCCTTGCTCTCCATTCCCCTCTATCTTAGTCAGAATACTTGTTGAGTATTTTATTCGTAAACCGCGAAGCCTCAGGGCGCACTGTCATTTTCCTCTTGCCCCTGAGAAGGAGGGAAAAACAGAGGGGGGAAACCCCGCATATGACAAAAGGTACAGAGGCTGTTGGGAGTGCCCTGGTGCCTGACTCAGGGATGCCCCACATCTCTGCCCCTGCTGCTCAGAGTCGCCCCGTCCAGGGCTCTGCGCCTCAACTGGAAAGCCCGCCTGTGTTTTGCAGCACAGTGAGCTGAGGCGGGGGGAGCATCATGGGCCAGAAGTGAAAGACCCCATCTGGCCCTGGGCATCCCTTTCTGCCTGTGGACCCTGCAAGGAGTGACAGATCCTCACTGAGCCTGGGTTTCCTCATCTATATAAGGGAGGTGAGCCCGGCCAGTGTGGATCAGTGGTTGATCATCGACCTATGAACCAGGAGGTCAGGGTTCGATTCCTGGTCAGGGCACATGCCCGGGCTACAGGCTCGATCCCCAGGACGCATGTAAGAGTATGAACCAGGAGGTCAGGGTTCGATTCCTGGTCAGGGCACATGCCCGGGCTACAGGCTCGATCCCCAGGACGGGGCATGTAAGAGGCAGTCAGTCAATGATTCTCTCTCATGATTGATGTTTCTCGCTCTATCTCTCCCTCTCCCTTCCTCTCTGACATCAATAAAAACATATATTTATAAAAGGGAGATGATAGCCAACCTTCTCCGAGGGCTTGTTGGGAGGGTCAAGAGCAATGCCGTGCATGAATGCTTTTTGCAGAATGCAGAGAGCTCTGTGAGAACAAGGGGACGGTCTTCATCCCACAGCTCACTTACCAAGTGTGCCTTGATACCTGATTCACTTGCTTAGCTTAAACAGTGTATAAGACATGACCTGTGTCCTCACAGCTCATGGCCACAAATACCAACAATGGTATTGAATGCTATGAAATGCTTTTGGGAATTAGGAGAAAGAAGTCATATTCTCCAGCGCTGGGAGAAATCTAGGAGGGCTTCGCTGAGGAGGTGGTGTTTTTTGCTGGCCCTTGGAGCCTGGAGATCACAGAGACACATACAATGAAGGAAGAGAACATTGCTCCAGGGCAAAGAAACATATCAACAAAGGCATGAAAGCCAGAAAGCATGAGATGTGTGCCCCTCGCATCTACCTTGGAGGTAGAGGAAGCGAGAGACCTGCTGAGTCTCCAAAAGTGGAACATGCCTCTTAGACAAGTTAGCCTGGAATCAGTTTTTTTTTCTGTTCTCTACTGTCCTCACGTAACCAAGATAAAAGTGAGCAGGGAGCAGCTGTGGGCGCAGTAACGCCCCCCATCCATAGCCTTCATGGCTCACAGTAGTAACCCAGCAAATTGGACACTGATGTGAGTCAGGAATTTGGGCGCTTCCTTTGATCTTTGTCCAGTTTGCTACAAGGTCAGGCCCCCCCCCCAGGCCCCATAGGCACTGACCTGGCCCCAGGGGACTCCCAGTGGGAGTCTGTGAGTGGGGCTCCTGAGTAATCAGACAGATCCTGGAAGAAAGGCTTCCCTGAGCTCTGGTTTGTTCATCCTGGAGGAGATGGGCATGGGGACTGCTGGCTCACCCCACCCCAGGCCCGCACTCAGCACAGCTCACCTGCCCTGCCAGTGGCGGGGAGCAGCAGCTGATTAAGAACTCAAGAGGGGTATGTTTGAAAGGCAAAACAGTATTCATTGATGAGTCATTTAAAAGAAAGCAGCTTGGCTGATTTCTGATTATAAAGGAGTCTTTTCACACCGTACCAGGAAAATCCCCCCAACGAAAGCACGCATCATGAAAGAAATGAAAACACAAACGCCTCTTGTCTAGTTTAGCCGCTGTTAACTTTCCCAGACACCTCCTGTTAGATGATTCTCTGTAACGCGTGTGCGCGCGCATGCACAAACACACACACACACACATACACACACACGCGCACACTCTCAATGGTGAGGAAATCCGACTGCACACACAATGCTCTATCTTGCTTTCTAGTGAACAGTCCCTCATGGGCCACTTTTAATGCCAATTTAACATGGAGCTACAACATCCGATTGGGTGGCTGCTGAGTATTTCGTTGTCTGGATGGGCTACAGTCTATTCGACCCATCACCTCCTGGGCATGTCATCGCTCACCCTGGAAGCCTGGTACTCATGACCACTGAACACGTACACAAAAGCCTGGGTCTTAGAAGCTGTTGTGACTGCACACAGCTGAGGGCACAGGTGGCCCAGGGATGGGGAGGAGGAGGTAGCGGGGTACTCACCTTGAAGGGCAGCACGCGAGAGAGGCTCGGGGAGAAGGGGCCGCCAGCTGTGCCTGGGAGGGGCTGGCTTGCTGTCTGCCTGGGACGAGAGGCAAGCCTTCTGAGCAGGCAGCGACCCGGTGAAAACAGCACAGAGGAAGCCAGGCCACCCCTGTCTGTGCTGTCACTGGTGGGGTGGGCCCAGAGGGTGGGGAGTGGGGTGTCACCAGCTGCAGCTTTCAGCAATTCGCAGCGTCGATGGTTTGCAACCAGAAACGAAAAGCCAGGGGAAGCTGGGCTAAGCTAAAACCATCTCTGAACACGCATGTACAGGCTGATCATGCAAGAATAGCGTTTTTTCCTGGATGGTGCAGCTGCTGACAGGAAAAGGGAAGTGGAGAGTCCCCGTGAGGGCCGGGCCATCAGCTGGTGAAGGTGCATCTGTAAGGTCTCTTCAGGTGCTGGTGTCTGAGCAGGCCTGGGGGATCGTCGCCCCAGAGCTGTCCATCACCTTGGGACCCTTTGGCCTTGACCTAAACCCATCGAGCCGTGCCGTCCAATACAGTGACTGGTAGCCCCATGTGCCTCTTTAATTTAAAATTAATTCAAATGTCACTAGTTCCTTAGTCACACAAGCCACACGGTAGGTGTGAGATAGCCGCACGTAGCCAGGGACAGCGTGCCCGTCCTCTCTGGCATCCTATCGAGTGGCACTACGGTAGCCAACATGTGACACAGACCTAGGAACACAGGGAATGCTGGGGGACCTCAAGCACCTTAAACTCGGGGTCACATAGAGCAAGATTTTATTTGGACGTGGCCACTATACATCAGATACATTAACACTGATAATATGTTTCATTTTATTCATTATGG